ACACCCCTCACCTTCCCTCTCCTAAGGGGGAGTTTGGTAAAGAGAGATGAAAAAACCGATTTGTACCTTCCTTAAAAAAGTTGTCCTAGCTCGCTATTCTACTATCTATATGCAATTTTCACACTGCCGTACTCTAACGGAACTCTACACTTTCATCTACTCCATCTATCGTATAAAAATTACCACACAGTCTGTTATTTGAATTAGCATCTTCAACTATGTAAATCGTTGACGTCACGCAGAAGTAATACTAAAACATATATTCAAAGTACGATATTTTAGTTCAAACGCTACCGAACAAAGTCAATAAGAACGCGTGATAGCAGGGGTAACATTTGATAACGGCACAAAAGCTTTTGTAAACAAACTTTTAAGGCTCTTTAAACGCGAATCAAAGTACACTCACGCAAACCAACAACATCATCGGATAGGGGCAACTCTCACCTTTCCGAAAGTGGTATTGGTTTGCGTGGGCGTATTTTGGTTAGCGTGTAAAGGGCCTTAGAAATTTTGTATAAAAATGCTTTTGTGCCGTTATCAAATGTTATGCCTGATATGAATGTTTGCACCCAATATTCTAAAATACAAATGAAGCGCTCCGACCGAATCAATCTTCATCTTCATCTGATAGGCCAAAGTGAATTCATTGGCGTTTCAATGCGTTAGGCCGAGTTTAGAATCCGTAGGCCGAGTTTGGCGTCAAGAAGCAGTGTTAGACTTTTAACAATATCGCAACAATTTGTTTCTCTTTATTAAATCTTACGGTATGTACGGAAAGGTAAATAAATTTGGAAGCCATCAGTACTAATAACATTCCGTTTGGTGCTAAACTACGTTAGATTAAGAAAGACTAAGTGCGGGTTGTGCTTAATAGGCCGGCTATATTCTGAACTTTTTTTTTAAGATCAAGAAATTCCTAGAATATTAAATTCTGATGAAATTCTAAAGATAATTTCAAATGAATGTGAAAAATACCGACGGGCCGAATTTCAAGGGTACAATTCCAAAGCAATTCTGAGAAGAGTTTAACGGAAATTCCGAGGTATCTCGATAATAATTTCTGGAGAATTTTAAGAAGAATACCGAATGAATTGTCAGAAGAATCTTGATGAGACCTACAAGATAATTCTAAGCTGAATTTCAAGACAATTCTGAGCTGAACTGCATAGGAATTCTAAGGAGAATTCAAGCGAATTTATTTATTTATTGAGTCTTTGACGATTTCCTGATTTCGCCCAGACTAATATTAACCTCAGTGTTCACTAGGCTGTCGACAGAAGCAGACCACTCTCAATGTGTGTCACGCGATCGTCTGTTTACTCGGCAGCAACCATTGTGTGGTCCTCCTCATTGTTCTTCATCAGCAGTTCTTTCAGTCGATGCGTCGTCGACTTTGGAAAGCAACTGTTTCGTGATGAATGTGTGAGTGCTGACCACATTTTGCGTCCATTGCTGCAATGGAAGCGCTCTGACCCCCGTTTGCGAATCTGCCATACAATGAAACCACTGGAAGCGGCTCCCGTTCTGGTGGAGGAGGCATCATTGGATAGCGGAAGATAAAATGTTTATTGTGTTGTACCTTTTGACTATAGTTTTAAGATGTATTGGTTCGGCTCTGTAAAGTTAATTCGGTTGAGCCTTATCAAATAAATTAATAAACATAATACTATCCTATCCTATTTACTCTAAACTTATTTTTAAAAGAGAGTCGTCACAAATAGTATTAAAAGCTCGAAGACAGGAACTTTGCGGATTATTGAACTCATAACTAGTCCTGTTACACGGAATGACGATAAGGGCAGAGCACCGTAATTAGCGATGAGGTGCATTGAGTAAAACTTCCTGTAGAAGTTCAGGGCAATTGGTGTTGTTCATCAGGATGTCGAATACAACCAATTGTTGCAATTTCAGCCGTCTCATCGATAGCAACTCTAGATTGATCAAACGGCACAGTTCTTGATAATCAGGAAGATTAACGGGATCATTCCACGGTAGATTCCGAGGTGCAAAGCATATGAACTTTTTTTTAATACGTTCGATGCGGATCACCTGGCACGTGCGATATGGTAGACTTTAATGCGTACACATCGGTTAGTTGAGAAGCATTACGATGAATGAAACCGAGTAAGGAAAATTCTTTGGCTGTGATGGTGGAAATATGATCATTAAAGCGAAGTTTACAGTCCATTATAACTGCTAAATCGTGAATAGCCTGAACACGTTCCAGTGAAGTAGTGTCGATCCAGCGGTGCCGGTGGTGTATGGATAAGCGTAATTACCTCTCATCCCAGCAGGCCTTGGTTCGATCCCAGTTGGCGTCGCCGGGATGTTCTGAGGCATAACATAACATCTCTGATCACGCCTTCCTTCGGAAAGTAAAGCCGTTGGTCCCCGCTTCATGAGTTGATGGGTCGACGGAAAACCAATCAAAGAAAAAAAAAAGTAGTGTCGATTCGATATTGGTGAATGAGTGTTGACCAACTGCGGCTAAATGTGATCGTTTTGCATCTATTGATGTTAACGCTCATACCATTATCTTTGCACCAGCTCAATACCACATTGATGTCAGCTTGCAGTACAATACAGTCAGGTACAAACGCGATAATTCTGAAGAATTTAAGGTCATCATCATAAAGCAGCTTTCCAGCGGATATTTTCGCAGGAATAGGTCGTGGTCGGTCGGAATTTGAAATAGAATCATAGAAGGGAGTTTCAGTGAATTCTTGAAGGAATCATTACAAATTCGAAAAGAATAGTAAGATGGATTCCATAACTTGTTTGGCATTGTCTGCAGAGAATTACTAGACTGTTCTAAATAAATTTTCAAGCGACTTCTAAATAGAGAATTTTCAAGGGAACTCCCAGAGATGGAAAAATTATATCCGTGGAAATGTTTCGCTGGATAGGATGTTGTTTCCCTCGGGTACCACACCGCAGAACAGTATTCCAGAATGAACCGCACCAGAGAACATTACAGTGATTTGATTTGCCGGAGAAATTCTTTGCTATACTGAAGATGAAGCTCAATGTCCTTGGCACCTTGTCGACCACATATGAAATAATACACTGCTTGTACGTTAGCTGCGAATCCAGAATAACACCGAAGACATCATATCAAGAAGACTGGCAACTTTTCCAGAAGCCAAGCGACACATACAATAGCGCTGCGCTTGATTGAAGGTGGAAGCAACGCATAGAAAAATGAGCAAATACACAAACCTTTCTTCTGAGGATGTAATATTTGCTATCAAATTCGTTCAAAGCATTTACCTTTGAGCGGCAGATAATAAACGAATTCGCTGTAAGTAAAAATCGAATCGGCACTCACCACCGGAAAACATCAGCAGACGATCAGTGAGATATGAGCAAAACTATCGCAGGATGTTCCCACTAACCCACAGTGCATGTGCATTGCGATTGTCAAAAATGGTATGGTTTAGCTTATCGAAAGCTGTTGACAAGTCGTTATAAATTATGTGGTTCATATATCTTCAGTAATGGATATAATCAAAGCGTCTCCTGAGCAAGGCCAGAGAACTTCAAGAGAAAGTAAATTCAAATATCTTAAAAAACTAGTCCAGTGACTCCCGAGATCATGATCAGACTTCCAGGACAAGTCTAGAGGACAATTAGAGAAAACTCATAAAGCACTCGACTTAATCTTCACATAATTCCAAAGCCAAAACTATTATTAACGCTCATCGCACGTCCCATAGGAGTTTTTGCTATGAATATAGTAGCTAATCATCTACTTTATCCCATCACAGAAGAAGCAAACTTAAAATAGTTTTTTTCTCGGCTGCTGGGACAGACTTGCCATGAGTGAGTGGCAGTATAGAACATACCCTTAGTTCTAACTGAACATCGGAATATCGGATAACTAGAAAACCTAGCTTTTTTTCTATTAAAATTTCCTTTATTAATCAGTGGACGCACTGATCAGAGGCTGGTCATAAACAACGTAGAACGATTTCGAGAGATTTGAAATACCCCCTCCCTCACTTAGACAATCGTCCATACAAAATTTCGCCTACCCCCATAAAGTTCTACGTGGTTTATGAACAACCCCTAAGAAGTAACACCCCCGATCGGATCCCCCGGTTAAAAAGACGCTAGCTAAAAAAGAAAGCTGAGATGAAATTTACGATCGTGCGAGCATTCTTGATTTAATACCCATAATCATCATGATCATCATCTCGTGTGCTACGACTGCTCTCATGTCTGCAGTATTTTCGACTCTCTGGGCGCTAGGGGAATCCACCGGGTGGCGGTGGGGAAGCTGGGCCAACGTGATACAACCGGTATGACAGGTTCCTTGTTCCGTAGTGTCTGTCTCGTCCACAATAAACCATTTCGCGGATTCCATTTTTCTCTCGGTGTCTTGTTTCTTATTTTCTTATAACAAAAACGATACACCCCAACAGCCGTTCTCGCGATAGTAGTTCGCTCCCAATGCACAAACGTGTATGGGTGCATTGTTGCGGTGTGGGAAGTATCCAGTTATACGACGCCTGTCGACTATACTTTGAGTATGTGCATGTGGACAGGGATTTTCCAATCTAGTATTCTCACTCATATAGGTAGTCCCGCTAAAAGGTATGGATACCGCGGGTCTTGGTAGCGTAAATACTTACAATTCGATCGTAGCAATGCTGTTGTGGTGGAAGTGTTTGTTTTTTTTGCTGGTCTTATTTTCGCGAGAGGGGTAGATGGCAGAAAGGAACGCTGCGCGTAAGACTTTGCACTTTTGATACGGTGGATTTGTGTATCGAAAAATATCTGCTGCCTGTCTATTTTGGAGCATCGTGGATACCATACCAGCCATCTACGCAAGTAGATTTGGCGCCAAATTCGATGACGCAAATTTGAAGTAATGATATGGAATTGCTGCTACCGTATTAAAATATATGATTTAGGAAAAGCTGAGATGTCATATGAATCCAACTCTCATAAATTATGTGTGTCCTTAAATAACCTATCGTTTTTCTTTCTACTTGCAGATCCCAATCAACTCCGTTCATAAACCGATCTCATTGAGTGTAAATAATAAGTGTCTGAAATCATACCCGTAGTTTTGATAGTAAGCTTATTACGAGAATACTTCGCTTATCGTAAACGAAACGAATATCCACGGAAAGTATTCTCACCGCGACCACATCAACTAGTGAATTTCTAATGCTAGTAATCATTACTGAAGAATAAGTAATTTATTTAAAGTTGATAATCCAAAAAAGGACTCTCAATAAAGGGTTATAGAAAGAAGTGCAGTGCAAGTCAGTGGCAAGTGAATTTGCAGTTGAGTTAAGTAATCCAGTGAATCGAAAACGAAAGGACTGCTGCATAATACAGTGTGTTATACTTAAACGGCCGCAGGCTAGAAATTTAGTGATCAAAAATTGAGCAAAGTATAGGAAAGGTCCGTTACAAAATTCTAAAAAAGAGGAAGAAAAGGAATTCCTCCAGCCATCATCACCACCACCACCACCACCACCACCACCATCACCATCGTCATCATCCGACGTCAACGGCGACGACGACGACGACGGCGACGGCAAGCACAAGCAGTGACCAACAGCAGCAGCAGGAAGAATCGCCGCAACCATCGACTAGCGGCGGAACTAACAACAACAGCAGCGGCCTCGGTAGACGCAACATGACAACCGACACAAGAAGACGAGTCAAACTGTATGCACTGAATGCAGATCGGCAGTGGGATGATCGGGGCACCGGGCACGTAACATCGAGCTACGTTGATCGAGTTAAAGGTAAGAATCAATCTTGTTCTTTCCAAAATTTTCGCTATCCTTAAGAGACGTCAAATGGAATATTCATTTCAATGCGGTAAATGCGACATGAAGAAAGACCAAACATTTTAGTTCACGTACCTACGTGATAAACTGAAGCAATTATACTCCACCCTCATAAGTCGGCAACGAAGTCCTGGGTGAAAGTCTTTTACGCTTCCTTGAGATATGGTATTGAAGAAGAGTAATTAGTAGTCCATGCAACTTGATTTTCATTAAGGGAAATCGCTGTGGAAACCTTATTTATGATTGATCTTACTATTATTTCGAAATTTCAAGAACTCAAATACCTATCAGTTCCCACAAAACTTACAACAATGAAAGTTCAAGTTTGCTGTAGTGCTGCACTAAACAGCGTTGTTGCAACAGTGTCCGAGATTTGTGCTTTAGAAAATTTGAAGTGAACTCTTCAAGGAACCTTAAGAATTTGGTGCATTTTAATGACAGTTCCATAGTAAAATGAATTTCCAAGGAATATAAAAAAGTAAGACTTAGGAAACAACCCGAGCAAAGTCGGTTAACAAAATGAAAGCAAATCGAAATTAAAGTTTGCAGTTCCTATCATAATGAAAACTCATTTTGATTTCAAGTGTCGCGACATAAGTCTGATATCATATTGTGCTTTCATTATACAGTCAAGACTTTTATAAATGAAAGCAACTTAACTTGAAGTTCTGCTGTTAACGTCTTGTTTAAAATTTAATTTATGTTCATCTGTGTTAACCGTTAAGTCAACCAAAATGAGATCAACTGGAGTATTAAAAATAAATTGTATCATAACATCAAATTTTGATTAGATGATTATGATGGTCCCACCTCTTACCCCTACAAAGCTTTGAGCTGGACGATTTATCTGGTTACATTTACAGATATAAATTTGCTCTAGAGTTTACAGTTGCTTCACAGCGATATAAATGTGGAAAAGCTCAGGCGTCCACCTCTTAGTTCGCTTTTTTAACCACCTAATATATTTATAAGTATTACAAGCTATCAAGAGTTAATGAACAATCAACAAAGCATCCTATTACACTAGCAACCCCGCAATCTGATGCTATCATAATTTTCAGCAATGTCAGGAATGCTCACGAACCCCCAACATTTGCCAGAAAACTTACTAAAGGGTGATACGGTCAAAATTTGGTCAATATCAACTTGACGTATTTCTTTCAATTTTGCATTTAAAAAACCTGAACACCCCTCATTTTGAAGGTGTGTGTGTGTAGAATGTTGCTCCTATTTTGATTTTGGAATTCACTCTTCAGTTGTCAAAATGCCGTCCAAGCTAGAAGAGCAGCGTATCAAAATTTTGCTCGCGCATCGTGAAAATCCGAGCTACTCGCACGCAAAGTTGGCAAAATCGCTAAAAGTTGCCAAATCAACCGTTACAAATGTAATTAAAGTGTTTGGGGAACGTTTGTCGACAGCCAGGAAGTCTGGATCGGGGGGAAATCGAAAACCGGAAGCCGCTGAGACGACAAAGAGAGTTGCCGGTAGTTTCAAGCGAAACCCTAACCTCTCTCTCCGAGATGCCGCAAATAAGCTGGGTGTATCGTCTACAACCGTGCATCGAGCCAAAAAACGAGCCGGACTATCGACTTACAAGAACGTAGTGACTCCAAATCGCGATGATAAACAAAATACGACGGCCAAAGCGCGATCCCGGAGGCTGTACACGACGATGCTGACGAAGTTTGACTGCGTGGTAATGGACGACGAAACCTACGTCAAAGCCGACTACAAGCAGCTTCCGGGACAGGAGTTTTATACGGCAAAAGGAAGGGGAAAGGTAGCAGATGTTTTCAAGCACATGAAACTGTCAAAGTTCGCAAAGAAATATCTGGTTTGGCAAGCCATCTGTACCTGTGGCTTGAAAAGCAGCATTTTCATAGCTTCCGGGACTGTCAACCAAGAAATTTACTTGAAAGAGTGTTTGAATAAACGTCTGCTGCCTTTCCTGAAGAAACACGGTTGTTCCGTACTGTTTTGGCCGGATTTGGCATCTTGCCATTACGGTAAAAAGGCCACGGAGTGGTACGCCGCCAACAACGTGCAGGTGGCTCCCAAGGACAAGAACCCTCCCAACACGCCAGAGCTCCGCCCAATTGAGAAATACTGGGCTATTGTCAAGCGGAACCTAAAGAAGACCAAAAAAACTGCTAAGGGCGAGCAGCAGTTCAAGGCAAACTGGCTTTCTGCGGCGAAGAAGGTGGACAAGGTGGCTGTACAAAATCTGATGGCAGGGGTCAAGCGTAAGGCCCGGCAATTCGGATTTGGAAAAGCGGAAGCCTAACTGAATATTTTTCCTGAATTTTATACTAATTGAACTTGAAAAAGAAATTTAATTTGATTTTTTAAATAAACGATTTCACCGATTTACACGCGTTTTCCCTTGACCAAATTTTGACCGTATCACCCTTTACTAACTCAAGGCATCTTCCAAACAAGCTTCAAAATTGCATTTTTTTTAAATGCTAAATTCAGTCCTCTATATCCGTAACACGCGCGCAAGGCTCAAACTTTTGTGGACTACTTTTTTTTTTTAATTAAACTACTATTAAATCAAATATTAAAAACCCATCATCACCATCGTGGCGAACAGAAATAGTTTTTGCAGTGCTACATTAATTATTAAAAAGTCGTTATGACAGCTATCCATATAAAATAATCCGTTAGAGATAACTTCGTCAAGATACATAATTTGTCAATTCATAAATTCATTCATAAAAAAAAAAATCACTGGATAACTGTTCAAAAGACAGTTTTTACGTGTGAAATGCAGTGTCTTTTAAATTCTGTAAGTGTTGCTGAACGTTTTATATGTCTAGACACCGGATTGAATACATTTATTCCTTTATAATATAATATAATATAATATAATGAATTTTGTGAAGCACAAGTCAAGAAATGTGGTGTTCTTATTTCAGCCGCGTTTCTGGTATTATATCTATGAAAGTCACTTCCTCTTTCAATTCGATCACACAAATATCGGGGCAGCAAACCGTTAACTTCTTTAACACAATAGTCAAATATACAATTCTTTGCTTCACCGACCACCATTGTAAGGTGTCTAGCATCGAAGTTGAGGAAGTGAATCTATTACATCTCAAAATCAAACAAATTATTTTATTCTGCTAGCGCTGTAATCTCAATATTTGTGTTGCATTGACCAAAAATAAAATGGAAGGGCAAAAGTCTAGATGAGGAGAGATGATTGATTTATATAGCTGTATTTTACTGGCAATAGTAAAATCGTTTTTCAGTCGACATAGAATTCCATACTTCTTGGCAATTTTCTTGATGACATTGTCAATGTGAGGGTTGAACTTAAGTTTGTCATCAATAATCACGCCAAGATATTTAATCTCGCGGACGCGATCAATAGTCTAATCATCAATTACATCAGAGACGTTCCCATTTACTCGATTCCGCGAAATTACCATAAATTTAGTTTTACTTGTATCCAATTTTAACTGCTTATACTTCAACCATCTACTTAGAGAACGCAAATCTTCATTCAAGCGTGAAACGGCATCATATAAATCCTAAGCTAAGCTATCTAAGCTGCAATGAATAACACAAGTCATTAATATACATAATATACATAATAAATAACAGGGGCCCTAATACTCTTCCCTGGGGCACTACAAGTTTATTCCCCACCGGAACTGGAAACATAATAATTAAAAACAGTTTGTTGAGTTCTACCAGACAAATAGCTTTCAAACCATTTATATGCAGTACTCGTAATTCCAAAGCGCTTGATTGATCTCAACAATAAGGGCCTAGAAATTGTTTCAAAAGCGCGTTTTAGATCCAAAAAAACAGCAACAATCGTATCTTTACACTCCAAGTTATTTTTCCACTTCGCTAATACCAAATTCAACGCGGTTTCACAAGAATGACCTTCCCGATATCCCGATTGTTCTGGTATCAACAAACTATTACTATTTAAATACTCCAACAGCTGGCCTTTAACAACAAGTTCTGAAATTTTCTCTAATGTGTGCAACATGTTGATGGGACGAAACTCTTCGGCTTTAATCGTTCCAGCAACTTTTTGAATAGGAACCACTAAGGATTCCTTCCAAATTTGTGGCACATGTCCAGTTTGCAATGATTCACTAATAAGGTCCAGCAAGATGTGGCCAATGACATGAAAGCAATCTTGAATAACTCTAGCATTATCATTATCTACTCCAGCCGATTTTGAATGAATGGATTGATTAATCAATGAAACACTGTCTACAAAAAAATCATTAAACTTAGCTGAAACTACTTGTTAGGTTTTAATAAAGATTTCAAAATTTTCCATAACTCTTTGCTGTTGTTTTGATGCTGATCAATCTTCCTTTGAACATATTCACAACGAGTTTTCTTTATCGATTGTGAATACTTATTACGCGCGATCGTGTACCTATTCCAATGATTGTCACAGTGGCGTCGCATAACCTCACTTTTTACCTGTGCACCAACTTTCAAAAACAGATTTAATGCCATATTCATACTCGAATCGGTTGAAAAATACACTTAATCTTCTAGTTAACTCGATATCTATCCATTGCAAGCAATATTTTGATAATTGTTTATGTTTTGAGAGTTGGTGCACAGGTAGATTGAGGTTAAGCGAAGACAACAAATCAAGAAGACTGGCAACTCTTCTATTTTCTCATACGAACGCTATGAGACAGGTACAATCGCGTCATCTGCCGAGGTAAATGCTTCGAACGAATTTGATAGCAAAGATTACATCCTCATGTTGACGTGGATGGTTGACGTCCAAGTTCATTTTACGTTCTTTATTTATTTTCAAACAATTAATACATTTCAATACAGTTGACGGTACACTCCGACGTTTTGTGTTGTTGGCTGCACCTAGAGCATCTATCACAATTTTTGCAATCCATGCTTTTGTGCCCAAATTCTCCACATTTGAAGCATCTCAACACATTAATCGCGGGAACTATCGAGCACCGATCAAACCCTATATTTACTTTTTTCGCACATAACAAACATTTATACGTATCGACATCGACTTCAATTACAACACTAAACTTGTTATAAGTGAAGCGTGGATTTTCAAACCTGTTCACTACTTTTACATCATTAATAGCGATGTCTTCATTTTGACTTTTTAAGTAGTCAATGAAGACATCGGAGGAAAACTGATCGCTCATGCCACTATTTTCAATCTTGGCACCGAAGTGGGAACAACAGCACTATATTTTTCACCCAGATTGCTTTCAATGTCATTTTTCACATCATTTTTAGATTAGCTCCTGCTGCACACTCCACAATAATGGAGCCATCTTTATCATTCCTGAAATTACTGATTTTGTGTGTTTTTGGATCTAACTGTGTTTTCAAAAACTTACGAGTATCTTCGCAAGCTTGTTTGGACTCTTTTGGTTTAATCACAACGACCGGACGAGTCTTACGATTACTCTGTTTGTTACTGTTATTGCTTCAATTTGATTTCCAGAGTTTGTTAGTTTGGTTATTGGGATCTCCCTTTGCAACTCTAAACATGCCTTCACGTTGCAGATTCTAGAGGTTGACTGGATTTGTCCTGAAGGTACTGTGCACTTGTTATGGAACAGATGGTTATAGGACGAACGTTTCTTCTTCTGACCAATAATGCTTGGTTACACATTAGGGAGAGGGAGATATTATTTTAATGTTACCAATTTTTAGACGATGATCACCGAACATAAAGCTCTATGATCTTACTCTTGCCTCAATTTGCCATTATCGCTCTGTTCAATTTCATCATCGATGTCGGACTCTAACTGATTGAAATGTTGAAGACATCGACGACAAATGCCTCTCACAGCAAGAGGCGATGTTCAATCATTTCTACAATGTAATTTAAAACTGATGTTATTTCAATTTGTTTATATTGAAGTGTTTAAGGGGAAGTTCACCGCTCCGAAACAAATAATTGCGTTTAATTTTTTTTTTAAATATTGGCAAAAGATATCAAAAATCTAAAAACATCACATGAAAAACATTTTGGATTTTTGAAAATTTTACCCATTATTTTTTGAAAAATAAAAACGTGCAAACAAAATATTTTCGGGGTGGTAATCTTGTCCT